GGTATACCTTCTTCCACTCTTTCACTGTTAACCTATGTCTATATATTATTTATTTATTGGAACGCTTCATGAATTTGTGTGTCATCTTCATACCAAGGCCATGCTAGTAGTCTTCTCTGTATTATTCTAATTTTAGTATATGTGCTACCGAAGTGAGCACCATGTCTCTATATTTAAATTGGGTTTTTAATTGATATTTTATAGTTGGGTCTTGCTTTTTTATGCAATCTGTCAATCTTTGCCTTTTATTTGGTGGTTTTAGGCTATTTATATTTGATGTGACTATCAACACAGTTGGGTTTAAATATATAATTTGCTCTTCATTTCTATTTGTCTCATCTGTCCTTTGGGTTTTTTTCCCTCTTTTCCTGCCTTCTTGTGGAGTAATTGAGCTTTTCAAGTAAATTCATCTTATCTCCACTCCTGACATATTACACATTAGCCATACCTCTTTGTTTTGTTATTTTTGTTACTTTTTATTTTTATTTTTTGAGACAGAGTCTCACTCTCTCTCCCAGGCTGGAGTGCAGTGGTGTGATCTCGGCTCACTGTAACTCTGCCTCCTGGATTCAAGCGATTCTCATGCCTCAGTCTCCTGAGTAGCTGGAATTACAGGTGCCTGCCACAGTGCCCGGCTAATTTTTTTTGTATTTTTAGTAGACACGGGGTTTTGCCATGTTGGCCAGGCTGGTCTCGAACTCCTGGCCTCATGTGATCCACCCACCTCAGCCTCCTGAGGTGCTGGGATTACAGGCGTGAGCCACCATGCCCAGCCTGTCTTGTTATTTTGTTTTTATTATTATTATTTTTTTGAAACAGAGTCTCACTCTGTTGCCCAGGCTAGAGTGCAGTGGCATGATCTCAGCTCACTGCAACCTCCGCCTCCCAGGTTCAAGCGATTCTCCTGCCTCAGCCTCCTGAGTATCGGAAATTACAGGTGCGCACCACCACACCTGGCTAATTTTTGTATTATTAGTAGAGACTGGATTTCACCATGTTGATCAGGCTGGCCTTGAACTCCTGACCATGTGATCTGCCCACCTCGGCCTCCCAAAGTGCTGGGATTACAGGCGTGAGCCACTGTGCTCTAGGGTTTACAATATAAATCTTTAACTTATCATAGTCTACTTTCAAATAATATTATTTCATGTGTAAGAACCTTACAACAGTATACATCTATTTCTTCCCTCCTGGCCTTTGTCCTACTGTTGTCATACATTTTGCCTCTATGTAACTTATAAATTCCCTAATATAGTTGGCCCTCTGTATCTGTGGGTTCTGCATCTGTGGATTCAACCAACCACAGATGAAAAAGATTTGGAGAAAAAAATGGATGGATGTGTCTGTGCTGAACACGAACAGACTTTTTTTTCTTGTTATTCCCTAAACAGTCTAAAGATAGCATTTATATTGTATTAGGTATTATAAGTAATCTGGAGATAATTTAATATATACAGGAGGATGTGGGTGGGTGAAATGCAAACACTGCACCATTTTATATAAGTATGTGAGCATCCACAGATTTTGGTGCCTGTGAGGAGTCCTGGAGCCAATACTCCATGGATAGCAAGGGACAACAGTACATTGTTATTACTTTTCCCTTAAGCAAAGGGAAAAGAATAATCTATTTACCCCCACACTTACCATTTCCAGTGCTCTTTACTCTTTTGTGTAGATCCAAATGTATTTTGAGTATCATTTTCCTTCTGCCTCAAGGATTCCTTTAACATTTCTCACACTGCTCATCTGCTGGTGATGAATCCTCTCAGCTTTGGTGTCTGAAAAGGTTTATTCAGTTTTCAGTTTTGAAAGATGTTTTTGCTGGATGTAGAATTCCAGTTGGGCAGTTTTTTCTTTCAGTATTTTACAGATGTGAACACAAACTCTTCCCAGGGATATATGAACTCTGAGGATGGTTTTGTCTGTTCTTGCCCAGTGATTCTCCCCCTAGCCTTGGTAGTTTCCTCGCAGGCGTGCACAGAGACTTAATGGGACGCCTCTGCAGAGCTTTGGAGATTTCTTGCCGTGTGGTTTCCTCCTCTCTAGTACTCTAGTTTTCAAATTCTAGTCACCTTGGCTTCCCTGATCCCCAAACGCTGTCTCCTCATCTCAGCAAGGCTGCTGGCCTCTGTTTGGGTTCCCTGCCCTGTGCTGGGGCCTGGACATTATCTCATTTGTTTCATTCCTTTTGGGGATCATTGACCTGCAATGCCTGTTGTCTGAATGGGTATACATCATTTTTTCATATATTTTGTTTGGCCTACTAGTTGTTTACAGGAGAATAGTAAACTAGTCCTTGTTATTCCTTTATCACTAGTTTATCTCCTCAAATAAAATCCCATACTATTAAGACCCATTTTAAATGTTAAAAGTTCCAAGAATTCCTATATACTTAGTTTTACTTTTTATTTATTCAATTTTTGTACAATTTTGAGTATGTACTTACACTCTTGGGCTCCTGGCAAAAAATCCATTGCCCCTCAGGGGACCATGCCCTATGGGTTAGGAACCATTGGTTTAGGCCAACAGAACCTAAACCATTGGTTTAGGCCAACTCACTCTCTTAATCTCTACACTTGGAGCCTATCCTCATCTTTTCCATGTCCTTGCTGAGACCTCACGTTTTTCCTCTGAAAACTAACACTAGGAGAAACCTTACTCTTTCACCCCCTCCCCACCACCCCACTTTACGTTGGCAGAATTCAATAAAGTAACCATCTAAAATGTATAGACCTGGTTTTAACATTCATACATCAAGTACAACCCAAATAAATCCCAAGATGTTATGTGATCTCGTTATGCCATTGTATCCATTGTATCCCATTCAGAGATATAATGCTCACTCACCCACCAAAAATAATAAAAAAGTAACCCCAATCTTTTTTTTTTTTTTTTTTTTGAGACGGAGTCTTGCTCTGTAGCCCGGGCTGGAGTGCAGTGGTCTGATCTTGGCTCACTGCAAGCTCCACCTCCCGGATTCACGCCATTCTCCTGCCTCAGCCTCCCCAGTAGCTGGGACTACAGGCGCTCACCACCACGCCCTGCTAATTTTTTTGTATTTTTAGTAGAGACGGGGTTTCACCGGGTTAGCCAGGATGATTTCGATCTCCTGACCTTGTGATCCACCTGCCTCGGCCTCCCAAAGTGCTGGGATTACAGGCGTGAGCCACCGCGCCCGGCCAACCCCAATCTTTAATTGGGTCACTCATAATCACTAAAGTGGGTCCAGCTTATAATTCACAATAATGAAATTTTCTTTTATTTTTTCCTCTCCTCTCCCATTCTCTCACATCCAGAAAACCTCTTTAAATTCCAACACACTGTCTCTGACACCCAAACTTCCTTTTCTCTTTGTCTAGATAAATGATTACTAATCTATGGGCCATACACCACTGAGGGATAATGGAACCATGTGTATACCAATAATTGTCTATATACTGAATTACTAAAAAAAGGAAAACTTATATTGGAATCCTTGAAACTTCTGATATTTAAAATAAATGCAAAATAATATAGAATTAAAAAAAAAAAAAAAAGGCCAAAGAGATAATAGCTAAAACTTGGGAATAATGGAATAAAAGACTCTTATATTCTCCTCTTTTGACTTCTTTTTTTTTTTTTTTTTTGAGACGGAGTCTCGCTCTGCTGCCAGGCTGGAGTGCAGTGGCGCGATCTTGGCTCACTGCAACCTCCGTTTCCTGGGTTCAAGCAATTTTCCTGCCTCAGCCTCCCGAGTAGCTGGGACTACAGACGTGCGCCACCACACCCAGCTAATTTTTGTATTTTTAGTAGAGACAGGGTTTCACCATGTTGGCCAGGATGGTCTGAATCTCTTGACCTTGTGATCTGCCTGACTTGGCTTCCCAAAGTGCTGGGATTATAGGGGTAAGCCACCGCGCCCGGCCTTGACTCTTTATTATAGATACATAGATATAGGTACAGATATAGATTTAACTCCTTTGTCTTCTTTTAATTTTTTTTCACTGATGTTTTGCCTGTTTCTAGATTCTCTACAACAGATGTAAAACAGAAACTAACCCAGCAAATTAGAATTCATACCCTTTGGGACTATTAATAATTTTGTCCCCATTATACAAGTATTGAGTTTATATCCATATTCATCTTTCATATGGCAGGAATAGCTCTCTGCACCACCCATGAGTATGGGATCTTTCCCTGCCAGACTCCTTCATTTGCAACACTGGCTTTGGGATGAGCAACCCTCAGCTCTAGACCTGAGGCTCAGGCTGCCAGGGGCAGAAAAGCAGCAAGTGCCGACGTGGTCCCTAGGGGCAGCTTAGAGGGACTGGAGGATCCCACAGTTGTGAGTCAGAGCCAGCTGGGACCTGCCCCAGGGTTGGGTCAGGAGGTACCACCTGCTCCCGAGTCTTGAGCAGCAGTGGCCTGAGTCTAGGGGAGGCAGCATGCTGAGGCATTGGTATGAGGGCTGGCATCAAGCAGCTAGAAGAGCCTTGGCCATGGAGGTTTCGTATCACCTTATACAAGTCCAGATAATCTCCTAGAGGCATCTTGACTTGCTGTTTGTTTTGGGATTGAGAAGGAAAGGGACATGACAATTCTTTGAGTGGCTGTGAAGGTTCCCCCAGCTTCTCAACCCGTGCCAGGGCTGGGGCTGGACAAAAAGATACCCAGTGCAGTCCAGGCACAACCTGGCCCCCTGCTGTGAACCCTGCCTGGAGCTGCTCTAGTTCCAGCTGCTCTGGTTTTATTTTCTTCCTTGCTGTTTTGCCCATTATCCAGCTTCCTCACAACAAAGGAGAAACAGGAACTGACACAGCAAAAAAGAATTCAAGGAGTTTCCAGCAAAGGTCTGATACCTTGTGGTCCCAGGGTTTCTAACTGAAGGGATTCCCTCTACCTTACCCTCTCCACTCAGCCCTGAGTCCAGCAGGGGCACAGACAGGCAGGCAAAGCCTCCTCCCAACCTAGAGAGGAGATAACTTCCTGTTTCCCTGATGCCTCTCTGCTGATTCCTCTAGCTCCAGCTGGAGTGGAACGTTCACCTGAACATCCCTGAGGTCACCTCACCAAAGCCAAAGAAATGCAAGTTGCCTGCAGCCTCACCCCGGCACATCCACCCCAGTGGCCCCACCTGTAAGCAGCCCTTTCAGTCCAGGCACCGGGAATGTGCGCCCCTGCAGATGGCCCGGTAGGTGCCGGGAAGCTGAGGGGGCAGCAGCTGTATGGGTGAAGAGGCAGGCAGCAGGAGTGACCAGCCTGGGGAGGTGGGCTGTGAAGTGAGGGCACCAACAGGCCAAGATCACCCTACAAGTTGCAAAGTGCCTGTCTTCTCAGCTGCCCTCCCCAGTGCTGGCCACGGACCCAGAGGTGGGGTGTGTGTCATAGTGTGTGGGCTTCAGGGGCTAGCCTGACCAGTGCATTTCAAACTATGCAACAGAAAGACTCTGAGGACCACACCTGAAAACTTACAACTTTTCTACCCTGAGCATCGATTTGGCATCTGCCATTGGTCTGTCCTGTAAACAAACCTGAACCTCCCTACCATGTGACCTGCAGGCTCTGGAGACACTGTGAACCTCTGGGCAGCTAAAAGGACCCTGGTCCACACCTACCCTTGCATGGCCTAGATCAGGGCTTCTGCCCAGGGCCTGTTCCTTAAAGGACAAGGGCCACCCTGGGAACCTCTTTCAGCAGCTCCTCCGCCAGAGGAGCCCCAGGGAAGTGAGATTCAGACTCAGTGTTGGAGGGGAGACGAGGAGGACAGTGACACACTCGATTTGAGAAAGGAAGGAGACAAAGCCTACTTGGGCCTGGTGGCTCTGGAGAGTCTCTTGCATCTCAATCTCTCTTTGTTGCTTTTCACATTCTCCAAACCCCCCACTCCCAGCCAACAGGGGAAGCAGATGGAGGCCGTCTGGAAGACCGAGGTGGTCTCCTCCAGTTATGCAATAGAAAAAAAGACCCCTGCCAGCCTTCCCTGGGACCAGCTGAGGGGACACCCAGATATTCCCCGGCTGTTGACACTGGACGTGTAGTCCTCCTACCACAAAAGCCTGAACTTCCTGAAGGCCCAGTAAGGTGCGAGGCTGATGGTCAATGTGGATTCTCCCCAATAAATCTTTCTCCAGGCTTTAACAATGACCTCATTTACTATCCCACACCAGACAGAGAGAGGCTAACCTGGTTCCTCTGCTAGGCGGATGTAAGCAGAGTCCCTGTGCCAACAGCACTTCAGTTCTAGTGAAGGGTTTCCTTAGTGTCTCAGAGGCCACCAGGGGGCTTTTCCTTCACACTGGCCTCCTGAGCTGCACATGAATTCTGAAGAGCCCCATCTCACCCTAGCCCTGAGGGTGGTTCTCGGGGGAGCCAGGTGTAGGGAGGGATAGATGAGGGAGCCCCTGGACTGCCTGAGAAACCTGAGCCTTGGGCCTGGGCCTATCTGTCACTTCCTTTCCTTACTACCTTCAAGAAGGGTCCCTGGAAAGAACAGCTGGCTGGGTGGACAGAGGCAGGACTCCAGGGGCCAACAAGAGGCTTTTCTGGTTAGAAAAGGCTTAGCTCTCCTTTGCCTCTCTGGGCTTGTAGATGTCACTACTGAAGGCTCAAGGCTCTTTTAAGGACCCTCTCTACATGAGCCATCCCATCTGCCTCCTGTGACCCTGGCCCTGCGTCAGTTACAGATCCCCAATCGGGAGAGGCTCCTGATGCCTCCAGTCTAGACCTAACCAGAGCCAAGAGCCAGAAGATGCTGGTGCTGCCCCCATCCTCCAACTAGAGACCTCAGTGAGACAGGGAGGCATAGCGGCATCAAAGAGGGCCAGTCCCTGGCCGCACCTGCGCTCTGAAATGGGCCTGAGAGTCCCAGCATTCCAGTCCACCCAGTGCAGAAACCTGGTTTCCAGTTCCTGGAGGGTTTCCAAGGGGGATGTGCATGTGTGTTGCTGTTGGTTGTTGATTTAGATACAGCAAACAGAATGGAGAATAACCAAAACAACACTGTGATAGAACACTGTAACCCATAAGTCAACTGGGGCCTGGCCTGGCAGAGATTCGGTTAAACTTACCCAAAGCCCTCCCCATCGTGGGGGTCTCTCCTCTCCACATCCCTTCCCTGCCTGTGCTCTGCCCAGCTTCTGAGTCTCAGGCCAGCCCCTTTGTTCTTCCCACACACGGAGATATGTGCACATAAGTATCAGAGGTACGCACCCCACTTGAGCCCATACACTCATGACGTCAGTAACTTGCTGAAAATACAGAGGGACAGTGAGGAACAGGAATCATGTTGAACAGCACTAAGCAGCAGCCTCCTTTCTTCCCTCTTTCCCCGCCTCTCTCTCTGGTAAAACATGCACAATTCTAAAATTCCTTCATGTCTCAAGCAGAGCTGTTCCACCCACACCCAGGCCTCCACTGGGATCCCAGTTTCAGGCTTAAGGCACTTATCAAAATATTGTTCCCAGCAAAGACAGCTTCCCCTTTCTAAGCGAATTTAGATGAAGACAATTTTCTCCCTGCTTTCAACCCTGTACCTGTTTACTGTGTTGATCTCACCACCAGGTACAGAGGCAGATCCTGCTGTGCTGTCTTCTTTACCCACATCCCAGGCTGCCACCACCTCCCTGCGTGTCAGGCTGCTCCTGATGTCTCAGTGTGGGGGCTCCCTGCATTGTCTTGGGGTCCACTATTTTGGCATGAGGATCTGCTGGTCTCTAACAAAAGTTCTCTGTCCCTGCCCAGGCTGCTGCTACCTCAGGGTGGTGGCTGTGCTGCCTCCTTTGGGAGCGCCCTCCTGGACACTGCTCCACTCCCTGAAGTGCACCTTTTCTTGAGCCGCCTGCTCCTGGCCTACCATGAGTCCTCACATCCACCTGCTGCGCAGTGCCAGGTCACTCGCCTCTTTGTGGTCCTGCTGACCTCGCCAGCTCCGTTGGCCATGCTGTCCAGCTCACAGCCCCATATGGGTTCATAACTAGGCCCAACCTCATGCCCCATTCTCCTGGTCTGCCTGGCACTGACAGCCTGTTTGTCTCCAGGCCCACTGGGGTGTCCTCTCGGCATGTGAGGGAGGGTTGCTCATCTTCCCTCCATGGTTTGAGATGCTAGAAGACTGCATCCCTCAAAACCCAGCAGCCCCCCTTCTCTGAGATTTTTTTCAGCTTTGTCTTACAAGCATGTCCCCGGGGTTCTCTGTCTGACAGGTGGGAGAGCTGTGTGTGTCTGCAGACCCCAAATGCTTTCTGTAGCTGGAGAATCTTAGCCTTGACTCTTGAGTGCTCTGCCCTCCCCTTGCTCAGGGTCTGTTCCTGCACAGCTAAAAACACACTGGTACAGGTCGGGCACGGTGGCTCACACCTGTAATCCCAGCACTTTGGGAGGCCGAGGTGGGCGGATCATGACTTTGTGTTGAGCAGTTCTGTGTCCAGGCTGAGTCTGGGCCCAGCTCTGGACTTGGCTCTGGGAAGTGCTCAGGTGCTGGATGGCACTCACATAGCCTGGGCCTTGTCTCAGTTGCTCCCCAACCTGTAACTCTATTAACTCTTGCAGTGCCTCAGCGAACCAAAGGAAGGAATGCCAGGAACCTACAAATGAATCCGCTTAGCTTGTTCAAAAAAAGTCAAGTGAGTCACTCCCTGGAACCCAAATAAGCCAGAAGGATCAAGACAGCCCCAGTCTCCACTGCATCCCTTAGCTGGTGATTCTCAACCTTCCGAGGGATGGAAACCCACAGAGAACTTGGTTGAAATGCAGGTTCCCAGCTGGTGCTTTTAAAGAAACCCTCTGGGTGTTGCTGAGTTCTCCTAGAACTTTGAGAAACACTGTTTCCCTCCTGCAGTCCCCAAACTCTACGTTTTTAACAAAATAGAGGTTGGTTTATTTTAAAATTCTGTCTCATTGCTGAAACCCACACCTCCTCAACTCAGTTTTAGAACCCTTTGAGTGTTGTCTGTGTACTTTGGGAGCAAACATGCCGAGATAGCTGTGAGTGGCACTTGGCACTTAGTAGGTGTCAGTAACTCTTCATTTAATCAAAATATGGACAGATACATCACTGACATGCCAGTGATTTGCATGAAAGCTCAGAAGGTGAGAACAAAAGGAGATACCAAATACAGACCAGAGCCAGGTGTCATAAGGTGGGAGGCAAAGGTGAGCATGTCTCTGAGTGAGGACAAAGGTGGAAGAAATGGAGACATGAGGTTCAAATATAGATGGTGTGGGCTAAGGAGGCCATCTCTGGCAAGCGTCTGTCAGTTCAGTTGAGACACTAATTCGGTTAGTTCAATCAGCTCATGAGCACCTACGCACCCTCCACCTGACACACAGCTACCTGCCTGGTCCCCACTCAGTCTCCCCCGCCCCATCCTTCTCCACTCACCAGCACCCTTGGCCTAGGGACCACACATACAAATAGAAAATTACCCTATCCTCAGAGAACCCATGTCCAGCGGTTCTCTTCCTCAGGAATGGCGCCCATCCTTGCTTCCAGCCTAAGACTGAGACTCCGGAAAGCTGAGCAGGATGTGGGATGTGAACAGCCGGTTCTGTGGATGATGCCAGGAGTAGGATTTGTTTTCTGAATCACAGCTTAAGATATCGCGAGGATGCCTGGTGTGGGAGGAAGGGGAGTGGTATGATGCAGGTCACATGCACAGCACAGCTGGGCCGGCCCTGGGCTGTTTCCAGCCTCTTGGGTCCCAGGCGCTTTCTTTTCTGGAGGCCTCACCCCAGTGATACTTAACATCTTAAAATGCCCTCACACTAAATGTATTGCTCTAAATAATTGGAAAGCATTTTTATAACCTTGCTTTAGAAATTAACTTGCTATGAATAAGTTATTTAATGTGTACTTAGCTGTGAGTGACATCTCAGCAATCAGCATGCACAGAGAAGAAATCGAACAAGTTTTATAAATGTAATGAGACTATTTCGAATATTAAATTTGACAGTGAATGAAACTGAAAATATTATGTTTTATAAAGATTTCATACATATTCATACATTCTTTGTTTTTACATTTTGGCACCCATAATATTTTCAAAGGTTTCATGTTTTCACAGGCTCTTGGCACTGTGCTTAAGGGGCCTGGTGGCTGAACTTGCTGTGGTCATGGAGGACTTTGACCTTCTGCATGTCCTCTAGCGAGCTCTCTGGCGAGCACGCAGAGTGTCTGACATTCTTCTCCTGCTTTGGTAACAATTTCATCTTCTTAAAGGCAAAGAAAGCCTGCACGGGTCAAGCTGTGAAGCCAAGAGGGTTGGAAGACAAATATATATGTGTGTGTATCTTTGTGTATATATGTATGTATACATGTTTGTGTATGTATGTGTGTATGTATTTATGTATGTGTGGGTGTATTTATGTATGTATTTGCACATGTGTATATGTGTGTGCATGTGTATGGGTGTGTATGTATATATGTGTATGTGTGTATAGGTACGTGTGTGCATGTATAAATATATATGTGTATAAATGTGTGTGTATGTGTGTATACATGTATGTGTATGCATGTGTATATATGTGTAGATGTGTATGTGTATGTGTGTGTGTGTGGTATTTTTCTAGTGATCAGGTTCGTTGCTACTATACAGGAGCCTCATTTTTTTTTTTTCAGAGCAAAGTTGACATTTCTGGTCAATGTATTGCTTCTACCCAAAAAAAATTCAGGGAAGACAAGGCATGGGAAGGAGTATTTCTCTGAGCATTGCTTCAAGCCATATTCGAGGACTGGCCGTAGCTCTGCTTGCATGGCCCACAGCCTCAGATGAGGAACCAAAACAAATGTGGAAGGGGACATGGGAGAAGGGTCTACTCTAGCCTTGACTAACTGCAAAGAGGCATACAGTGAAAGGGAGAAAAACCCTTCAAAAACAACCCAGCCATAGAGCCAGGGAGGGGAAAGCCATGCATGGTCTGAAAAGTCAGAAAACAGATGAATATGACTCTGTGATCAGAGGAGTCATCTTCTCAAGAAAAGAAGATGTGCATGGCTGGGATGCTGTAACTATCAAGTGAGGACTTTGAAGGCAGGACTTTGAAGGTAGCTACATCTAACATGTTACAAGATCTGCCTCTAACAGGTGGGCAACATGCAGGAACAGATGCGGAATTTGAGTAGAGAGTAGAAAATTGTACAAAAGAAATGGAAACTTGAAGATACCAGAAATTAAACCGCTGGGTGCGGTGGCTCATGCCTGTAATCCCAACACTTTTGGGAGGCTGAGGCGGGCGGATCACGAGGTCAAGAGATCGAGACCATCCTGGCCAACATGGTGAAACCCCGTCTCTACTAAAAACACAAAATTTAGCTGGGTATGGTGGTGCATGCCTGTAGTCCCAGCTACTTGGGAGGCTGAGGTAGGAAAATTGCTTGAACCTGGGAGGTGGAGGTTGCAGTAAGCCGAGATTGTGCCACTGCACTCCAGCCTGGTGACACAGTGAGACTCCATCTCAAAAAAAAAAAAAAGAAATTCTTAACGTCAGAGATATAGAAATCCTTTGGCAGGTTTATCAGCCAACTAGACAAAAGAAAAGCAAAAAAAAATGTGTGAATTTGAGGCAAGATCAATAGAAATTAGCCAACTATAACACAGACAGAGTAAAAACAAACCAGCAAACCCCAAACCAAACATCCAAGATGTGTGGGATAATACCAATGGTTTCACACACATGTGATCAAAGTCCCAGAAGGAAAAGGGAGAAGAAATATTTAAAGAGCTATTTGAAGAGATAATCACCGAGAATTTCCAAAATTAAAGACAAGAAGCCACAGATCCAAGGAGCTCAGAGAACCGAAGCAGGATAAATACAAAGAAAAACATACTTCAGCATATCATAGTCAAACCTGAAACCAAAGATGAGAGAAGAACTTGAAAGCAGCCAGAAAGAAAAAGTTACCCAGTAGAGTAAGAAATAAAGCAGTCTTCTCAGGCAGTCTTGTGAGTTATGGGTCCACAAGATAACCCAGGAGCCTTCTAAAATATTCCTCCATTTGGGGGCAATTAGCTTAGGCAGGTATCTGTTATCTGCAAAAAACAATTGGCTGGGATGTAATATCCCAGTCCTCCATACCCTGGCCCTGGCTCTTTTGTCACACTCCGGCCCTACTCTCTGCACACCCTGGGGAGGCCCTCCGCTGGTTAGTGACTTCATCAGCCCCTCAAACACTATTTATTGCCTCTGAGCTGGGAGGAAGCTGAGCAGGTGGAGGCTGGATACACTAGTCACCGACCTCAGTGACCCTTGAGGCAGGCCCTGGGGTCTGACTGCTGCCGCACATTCTTTCCCGGGAGCTGAGCAGCCTGGAACGACCAAAGCCTGAGTCCAGCTGGTGCACCAGTCAGGGTGCTGCCACAGAGATGTTCACTGCCACAGGCAGCAGTGCTGTGAGCAGGCAGCTGCCAATGATTCAGGCCGCCACTGGTCAAGAAGATTCAGGTTTCCTCTCTCATCACCCCCAGGCTGTCTGTTAGGTGCCCCGTGTCCTCATTCTCTGGAAGAGAGGAGGAACCTTTCCTGCAGAAGCCACAAGGAGGCAGCAAAGTGCTTGTCTAAGGGCCTCAGCTGGCCTGGAGAGGGAATGGGAATTAGAAGGGAGGGAACTGCATAAAGAGGGACACGAGGGAAGCTGGTGGGGTTCCTGAGAAGGCGCAGGTGGAACGTGGACAGCAAGTGCGGCAGAGGGAGGAGAAGACTTGAGGCATTCCTGACCCATGCTGTGGACACGGGGATCCTGCGGAGGACTCATGGTGGTGGAGTCTGCTCTCCCTTGGCCTGGGGCCCCTTCCTCCATACTTGACCGCCTACCCCCAGCAGGTCCTCTGCTCTGTATGGCAGAGATCTATCCCTGCAAATGACCCTTTGGGCAGTCGTTTTTAGGAGCTCTGCCAGGAGGCCCTTCCCATGGACTTCCTCAAGCATTTAGCATGGCCCCATTGATTCATTTACTTTCATTCATTCATTCAACAAGTACCTATTGGACACCTAACATGAGGCAATGTTCTAGGTGTTAGGGATACTGTAGTGAGTAAAACAAATTTTTAAAAAGTGCTTTCATGGCCGGGTGCAGTGGCTCAAGTCTGTAATCCCAGCACTTTGGGAGGCCGAGGTGGGCGGATCATGAGATCAGGAAATCGAGACCATCCTGGCTAACATGGTGAAACCCCATCTCCACTAAAAATGCAAAAAATTAGCCAGGCGTGATGGCAGGCGCCTGTAGTCCCAGCTAATCAGCAGGCTGAGGCAGGAGAATGACATGAACCCGGGCAGCGGAGGTTGCGTGAGCCACGATCATGCCACTGCACTCCAGCTTGGGCGACTGAGCGAGACTCCATCTCAAAAACAAACAAACAAACAAACAAACAAAAAAACGTGCTTTCACAAAGCTTGTATTCTATGGGGGGAAAAGACAAGAAACAAAAATAAATTAGTAAAATGCACAGTTATGTCAGAGCATAAAAGGTGCCACGGAGAAACACAAATTTCAAGAGGGATAAGGCAGCAGAAGGCAGGGGAGTGGGTGTTACCATTTAAAGTAGAGAGGGCACGGCAGGATGTTAGAGTGAAGACCTGAAGCAGGTGAGGAGGTGAGCTGGGGGAAGGGGGTGCTGGGCAGGGAGAGGAGGCTGAGGTGAGAGCCTGCCTGGCACACTCAGGGGACAGCAAGGTGCCCGGGGTAGCTGATGTGGGTGAGTGGGAGGGTGGGAGGAGTCACACTGCAGAGGCCACTGGGAGGCAGATCACACAAGGCCTTGTAGGCCACCGTAAGGACCTCTGTTCACCTGGAATGCAATGGGAGCCATTGCAGAATTCTGAGCAGAGAAGTGACATCATCTGTCCTTCAATTCAAGAGCATCCTCTGGCTGCAACCATGAGCACAGACTGGAAGCAGGGAGCAGGGAGACCAGCTGGAAGCTGTTTCAATTTCTATCCTATTCAGAAAGCCTAGTCATGAAGGCCAGACATGGTGGCTCATGCCTATAATCCTAGCACTTTGGGAGGCCGCAGTGGGTGGATCACCTGAGGTCGAGTTTGAGACCAGCCTGGTCAACATGGTGAAACTCTGTCTCTACTAAAAAAACACAAAAATTAGTCGGGCATAGTGGCAGGCACCTGTAATCCCAGATGCTCGGGAGGCTGAGGCAGGAGAATCGCTTGAACTTGGGAAGCGGAGATTCAAGTGAGCTGAGATCACATCATTGCACTCCAGCCAGAGAGACAAGAGTGAGACTCCGTCTCAAAAGAAAAAAAAAAAAAGCTCAGTCAATGAGCTCAGATGGCCCTTCCACCATGAAGCTTCCACTAATCCTCCCTAAGCCTCCCCTTCTCCTGGGGGCTCTCCTGCCTTTGTGTGTGGATCTCTTCCAGCATTGGTCCATCTTTTTT